ACAAAGCATTCAACGTAGAGGGCATAATGAATTTATCCCATCCACGTTAATTAAAAGTAATATATTGCTGACTGTGTCAATGTATTTTTCCTTTTTTCCTGGAGTCAAGTAATTATTATGAGACTGAGAATGGTTACTTATTTCTAAAATGCTTGTCCTTGAAATTACTTCAAGAATTCATTCCTGTCATATGAATTTATCTTAAATAACCTGGGAACTGTCAACCAAATTAATCAAATCTGTTACTTACACTGTTTCTTCCCTTCTGTTATAAAAAGAGTTAATTAATATTTGTGTTTGATAGTGCTGACTATTTTCAGGTTGTCATTTGCTGATGACTATTTTATTTATTTAAAATCTGTCAATTCCTTCCCCTGTTTGTATTAGTTCTCTTACTTTTGACGTTTTAGGCATCTGATTACAAATGTGATAGAAACTTTTGTAGATAAGATTTTCTAACATAATTTTGTCTCATGGGTTCTACTGAGCTTTGAATTCAATTGCAGAGAAACAAGAATCCCATAGGTACTGAGTGGTATTTTCCACAGTGGGTGACTCCAAGTCCAATGTGTTCAGAGTTCTTTGGGTCATAAACAAGGCCCAAACCTACAAATGTTTATATGCATAAACACTACTGGGAGAATTCCTTATCCTATTGAAGTGAATGGAATTCAGATAGAAAAGTTAATTCATCTTTTGTGGGGGCTTTAAGAAACCCAATGCTATCTATGTGTGTATCTCTGGTAGATTAGCCTTGGCTTTTCAGAAGTCCCTGCCTTGACAGTGTTTTATAAAATAAAGAGTTTCATTGCACAAAGTCGCAGCACAGAATTTATAGAATATATAGAACACAAAAAAAATTAAAATTTTTACAGCAAAGGTACAGCTGTAGATAATGCCTTAAGTTTTATAAACTATATAGCTTCTGATATGCAAACTACACTCACACTAGGAGACACTGGGTTATGGAGCTGGGCCACCCCACAGTGAACAATGAAAAGCAATACTAAATGCTCAGTTTATATTAATAATATGCATAATAAAGAAATAAAAATTAAAAAAAAAAATTAAACCCCCCCCCCACAAAAAGAAACCATCCTGTGAGGCAACACTGGGATTCAAATCTCCTCTTCCAGATAAAAACTCAGAACCATACCAGTTTGGCTACAAAATTTCCTGGGTTTACCGTACTTACTGCTACACTTCAGCTTGGACTTTCCCTCATAACAAGCAGTATCCTGGACTTCCATCAGTCAGCTGGAAAGACACGCTGATCCAGACATGCCTAGGAAGATAAGGGCATGAAAAGTCTTTGGGATCTGGTCCAAATCTCACATATGTCTCCAATGTGGTCCAATAGAGAGATAATTCAAGGCTGACTTGAACATCCTTTTCTTACTCTTGATCTAACAGCATCATAGTCATCTTGCTCTAATTAATTGCCCCCTTAGGTTCTGCCTCGGGTGTTTAACATATTACACCTCTTACAAGGGGCCGTATCATAAGGTGTCATTCAATGAGAGGGTTTCAGTTATTCCTTTAGTCCTTTTTCTGCTGATTTTTTCTTCTATTAAATTGAAGTCTTTTGTTTACTTTGACTTGCCTCTGAATCCAACTGAGTCCAATAGCATTAGACTGAAAGATGGTTTTATGGCCCAATCCTTAAAACTGATACAGGAAAAAATTAATTGTTCTCTGGGTGGTTGAACTGATAAACAAGTTGCTATGCCTGCAGTTTGCATGGACACAGCTGGGCTTAGGCAGTCTGTGATATACCTAAGAACCCCATTTCCCAAACAAAAGCCTGGCCAAGCTGCACCATTGATCCTTTTGGTCCACTGGCTTTCTTCCCATGGAAAATAAGACATAGAGGATGCGAGGGGAAGTCCCAGGGTATTAGTCCAACAGGCAGACTAGTGACACACAGAACGTGCATCCAGGATAAAAGCCAGTTGGGACAGTTCTGGAAATTCGGAGCTAGTGCTAACCCTTGCTACCAGGACCTTTGCATCCCTCTTGGCACTTGATAAGATTCTGTTCTGTTACATGATTTGAATTCTAGATCTTTAGGATAATGGATTAACAGCTTGCAAACTGCTGTAGCAGTAGTTCTTGTCTTTCTGAGAGATTTATGTAAATTCCTCCAAATCTGATATGAGAAGATCAAGAATAAACCTTCTGCCTATGTACTATAAAATGGCAGAAGTTGTAAGTTTAAGTTTTCAAGGCACCCAAGTCACTAGGTTTAGAAAACCTTGATGAGAAAATTTATATACATAGTATGAATTTTTGTCCACACACAGACATTAGCATGTATGCTCAATTCCACAGCTTTATTCTTCATGGAGTCTTTGCTCACCTGGAATATATTGCTGGCTGCAAATATTTTGTAAGTTATACTTAAAACTAAGCATAAGAAACAAACCATGAGAGATAGGAAAAAGCAAGGGTGGATTTCTGTGTTCATTCAGCCAATCAGCTTTTTAAGAAAATATCTTTAATACATGACAAACATACAGTTTGTTAGTTTTCCCCACAGATTACTCGAAGCACATGGGCTTTAATCTGATTTGACAGCCTTGTGATATTTTCTGCCATTCTTGTTCTTAGCAAAGTGCTCTAAAAATGCATCCATAATTTATTTATGGGACCTTCTTTAACCCTTGAGTAACTAGAATGTACACCATACCTTTCAGCCTTGAACTGTCTGTGCTGATTGTGGAAAGTGCCATCAGACACCTCTGAGGTGAAGCAGCTGAGCATTACTCTTTATTTCTAAAACAATAAATAGTGAAGAAGCCTTTGTTTTCTTGTCAGAATACTGAAGAAGAAATATCAGAACCTTCTGCTACATTATTTCTCCCTAGAAAAATTCACTAGCACCACGAAGACACACAGCTATTAATAATTTTGTGAGATACTTTAATTTCTAACAAAGGAAAATCCCAGGACAATCTATTTTTATCTGCACCAAGAGCTATTTTTTTCCCACTAAAAACATACTGAACTCCTTTTAACATGAATATACCATTACAGATCCTATTCAGAAAGCGTCTCATAATGGGCAAACTTCATATCTCTTGCAAAGCTCTTAACTTCTCTTGTACTTTATTTGCCTCCTACTATATTTAGATTTGTTGTAATTATTTAATATCAAGCAAGTCTTCCATTTCTGTGATGCCAGAAGTGGCTATTTGGTGGAAGTAGTTTTATTACTGAACCAGATGAACTGTTGTTATGGTAATATAAGGAATAGCCCCAAGTTTGATGCATTTATTCTGGATTTGGCCTGACCATCTTTTGTGTAGTGATGATGTATAAATCCCTTTCCCTTTGGTCTGGGAAATATTACCAGGTGAGCACTGTGTCCTACATTCCTGTTTGTGCTGCATTCCTATCCCAGTGTTGGGTGGAGTTCTAATGCAAACTTGGATTTCATAGACTCGCAGAACCGTTGAGGTTTGAAAGGATCTTTGTGAGTTATCTAATCCAACCTCCTCCTACAAGTCCAGTTAGATCAGGCTGCTCGGGACCATGTCCAGTCAAGTTGTGAATACCTCCAAAGCTGGAGATCCCACAACTTCCCTGAACCCTCTTCTGACATTTGAATTGAATACTCACTGCCCTTACTGTGCATATTTTCAACCTACTATCTGATCAGAATTTTCCCTATTCCAATCTGTGGTCGTTGCCTCCTGTCCCCTTGTTGTGCACCCTCAAGGGGAATCTCACTCTCTCTTTTTTGGATTATGGGAAATGTGTCCTTCTAGTCACATGGAAATGTCTGGAGTTATTCACATCTCTGGATGTTCTCATGCATGGTTGATAATCACTGATCAGCCCTGCAAGTGAGGAGATGGTAGTGTTACCTGGGCTGTGGTCTGGTTTTACAGTGTCTTTCACAAAATGATGTTATCCTGCAGGCATTTCCATCCTGTGCCAACTGATGATGGCTCCCATGAGAAAGCAAAGAGCCCAGTTAAGATACAGCCCGCTCAAAGCATCTCATGTGCTGTGCAAGCATAGGTTCTTGGGACACTGATTCTACATTATTTGGGAAATCTCCCTCGTCTCCATGGGAAACACATTCTCAGCATTCAGGTCAAGTTATAGTTCAAGGATTGTGCAGACTATACAATTTTCAATTTAAATATGGTAGCAAAGAGCTTGATCTCAAGAAATGTATCTACTTACTTTCATTTAAGTAATCCACTTTTCTTCTTTTTTCCAGAGCTGGCACATTTTGAACTCATGGCTTGTGGGCAATAGAACATCCAACTCAATAAAAGAAGTGCTTCTGGAAATCATAATTCTGGAAGCCGTAAAGCAGGGAGTAGTGAGCATGGATTTTTGAATGGGAAATCACACTAAAACAACCTGATATCCCTCCATGCTGAAAAGACTAGTTCAGTGGGTTGAAAACCAACTGACTGGACTGCTGGACTTGAAGGGTTATGATCAGTGGCATGAAGTTCAGCTGGAAACCAGCTGCTGACTGTGTACCCCAAGAGCTGGTTCTGGCACCAGTATGGTTTCACATCTCCATTCATGACATGGACAATGGGCCAGAGTACACACTCATCAAGTTTGCAGATGATACAAAAGTGGGAGCAGTGGCCCACGCACCAGACAATTGTGCTGCCATTCAGAGGGACTTGGGTGGGCTGGAGAAATATCCTGACAGGATGAACATGACAATCAACAAAGGCAAATGCCAAGTCCAGCCCCTGGAGAGAAACAACCCCATATCCCAGCACAGGCCAGGGGTAATCAGCTAAAAAGCAGCATTGCAGAAAAGGGCCTGAGGTTTCTGGTAAACAAGTTGAGGATGAGCCAGCAATATACTCTTGCAGCAAAGAAGACTTAGGAGCATCCTGGGCTGTACTTGGAAGAGCACTACCAGCCAGCTGAGGGAGGTCCTCCTTTCCCTTTGCACAGCACTGGTGATGTGCACCTGGAGTGCTGGATCCAGTGCAGGGCTTCCCCAGTACAACAGAGACATGGACTTGCTGCAGTGTGCTCAGTGCAAGAACACAAAGACAATGAAGGTTTTGGAGTATGTGTCAGCAACAGGAGACCGTGAGAGCTCTGGTTGTTCAGCTTGTGGAGGGGAAGTCCCAAAGGGATCTCATCAATGTGTATAAACAACTCAAGGGGAGTAAAAGTGGAGCCAGGCTTCTCATAGGCATGACAAGGGACAGGACAAGAGGCAATGGGCACGAAACAGAAATTTCATTGAATTAACAATCTTTTTCTACTGTGGATGTGGTCAAACAGTAGAACGGGCTGCCCAGAGAGATTGTGGACTCTGCTCCTAGAGATATTCAAAACCTGGCTGGATACAGCCCTGAAGAACCTGCACTAGATAATCCTGCACTGAGCAGGGGAGTTGAACTAGATAAGCTCCAGAGATGCCTTTCAAATCATCCATTCTGATTCTGTGGTAATTTGCCTCAGAGTTTGGAGAATACTTTGGGTTTACTCCAGTTTTTTAGCTTAGATATCCTTTCTATGCTTTGGAGGGTTAGTACCTTTCTAACACAGTATCTTTGGCATACCTCTGCTTGAAAACATTTATCACAATCTTGTAGAAGTGAAAGATTCTCTTTATTCATTTTTTCACTTTATTTTATTCTACAACATATTTGTGTGCAGCTGTATCCATTGGAAAATGTGCTTATTTGACTAATGCTTAACTGTTATCTAGTAGTATTGACTAGTTTTCTAGATTACTTGGAGCCAAAATAGCATGATGGTTCCTTTGATATTAAGTAATTATCCTGGTTTTGTAATAGATCTTGAGCAACCCTATCCTTAGGCAGTAGAAAAAAATTACAATCTTACTCTATCAGATACAGAAATACCTGGGTGAGTAAAAATTAAGAGCTTTCCCTCAGCACGCTGTCCACACCCTTGATGATTTGACACCTCTCAGTTCATTTCTTATATGGGGACTTCATAAAATGAAGATTTAAAGTCTTATATTCAGCTCTCCTCACCGCTGTCTCCACCTCCCTGTTCTCTGACTATGAAGCAGAATTAACATTTCTCTGTCTAGCATGGAGAAATGGAGAAATATCTTTGGGAGACCCTCCAGTGAGGGGTGAGTGTGGGTATTTACACAGACAGATGCAAGCTCAGGGCCAGACTGGGTAGATGCGAGTCAGCTCCTTTCCAGAAGCTCTGTAGACAGGGGAGCACAATAAATTATGCACAGATCCCAACATTCTTCGAGGTTGGCACCACAGTGCAAGTCTGTATGTGGTACTTCGACTTGTCCACATCTGATGGGCAAAGTGCACCTCAGAGTCAGTGCCCCTGCCCAGCTGCTCACTCCAGCGCCTGTAGTTAAGGCAGTCTCAGGTCTGCAGCAGCAGCCACAGCTGTTTTGGAGATTTGAAAAGAGGAGCCAGGAATTCCCCATCACAGCCTGGATGCCAACTTCTACATAGCCCTGGGCAAGTCATTTAACTCCTCTGACTCAATTTCCCCATCTGCTAAATGGGGATAATAGCAGAGGAGCATTGTAAGGATTAATTAATTAGCTAATGTTTGTAAAGTGCTTTGAAGATCAAAAGCACAAAGTACTATTGTTGTTATCAAGGGTGTTGAATTAACTTTCCTCATTTTGGCACACAAACCCCAGCACTTGGTCTGTTGCCTCAGGGCATGTGCTAGCATTAAGAACATGATGTTGATCATCTAGTCATAAGCAGAGCTATCAGAGCACTCTTGGATGTGTTGGTAGTCACTAAAGCCCAAGTTCCCCAGATATGCCATGCCACCATGCAGCAGTTGGAGTCTGATCTCTCCAGGTCTTCAGTGGGTCAGGGTAAGCATCAGCAAGTGCTTCTCACTGCTTCCTCTGCTCACATAAACATGTCCCTAAGGAGTCAGGACTTTTCTCACGGCCCATCAGGTTTTCTGGGTTTTCCAGTCTTTCCACACCTCTCTGATTCTTCTTTGAGCCTATTCCTAAGTGTCCACATCATGCATCACCAGGTTCATTGACCATCGTGGCCCACAGGCTGCCCAGCTCGGACTGAGGTTCCCACAGACTCTCCATTGCTGGACCTGTGCACCTGATAGTGCAGGATCTGGCCCCTGGTACTGGGGATCAGCCACCTGAGATGCGGGTGTTAAATGATTCCCAACGAAAGTGCACTGCCAGAGTAGCTGAACTGCAAGAGCTCTTCCTCCTGAAGAGGAAAAGAAATAGTATTTCTTAGTCTTTGAGAAGCTTGGTCTTTTGCTGTAAATTTTGCAGAGGCCCCAGACTAGATTAAGAGATTGTGATAATTACACAAACTGAACAGAAGGCAAATGTTGGTTGATAACTGAGAATTATTGTCAAAATGCCATTTTAACTTGTTCATCAACAGAACAAGCTAAATTATTATTAACAGCTGAGGACTCTGATCTCCACAAATCATCCATTTACTAGAAAACAACTATTTAAATAACTGCGCTGACATTTTAATTTCACCTTTTATTACTGCTGAAGAAATCATTCACAGCAAAACCCAATACTCAACCTTCCCTAGTCACTATAAAGACAGCAATTATAAAGTGCAACACAAAAGATTTTTCTTAGATGTCACTTGGCAAAAATATGCACTATTACTGATAATGCAATGATGTGGAAAACTTCTACCTGTGGCCTTGCCTGCATTTGGTCTCTAATGGACTAGGTTTTGCTCCTTTTCCAAAACTTTACTGAGGGACTGCTATGTTGGTTCTCAGTATAAGTGAAAAACGTGGGATTTCTAGAAGAGATAAAGGTGCTGAGTTCATCAAAGCTTCAATTCAGTTCATAATGTTCTTTATGCCCACTCAGTCTGGCACAAAATACATGGATTTGAATTATTGGGATCAGTTCTGCAATGCTGTAATACTAAACCATATGAATTGATAGCTTTGCACCTTTTAATGTTTGTAAAGAGTATATCATAAAAATAAGAGGTTGAAAGACTGTTATTAGATCAAATTGCAACAAGATTGTTTGTTGATAGAGAACTGTGATAAATGTTTTACCTTTAACTTTGGTTTTTACTGACTCATGAAAATTTTGCTCAATCTGTCTGCTAAACACAGGCCGAAGTCACTTAAAAATATTATTTTCTCCATTTGGCAAATGCTGTGAAATATCTGTTTAGGGAGGGAGTAGTTTTTGAGTACAGCTTTTGGTACTTACTTCCTGGACACTCTCACATGTAAGTTAAGAGCACTTAGAGGAAAGTTACCTCAGCTCAGCAACCTGATAGGTACTTCTCCAGGTTCATAAGGGTAGTTGTGCACTTTGTTCTCTAAATAAGTGGTTCTGAAACAAAATACATGGCTCCTAGGAATGCCCATATGCATTTCTTGGAGGAAGTGTTTGATACAGGGCATCTAACAGGATTGTAGTAGGAAACACTGCTCCACAAAATCTGTCATAAAAGTGATATCCACTGAAGCAGTATAATAATTCATTACTAGAGAAACATGGGACAAGGACTGTGACATCATAGAATGGGTTTGGGTTGGAAGGGACATTGAAGACACCTCTAAAGCCACATATCAACTGGTTAACTGTGATTTCAGCATGTGCAGGGTTTTACCTGAACCATCTGCACAAGTATAATATTCATCTATAGCAAATAACAAAAGATAAATTCAGGCAGGTGGCAAGATTTGGATTTTTTGCCCTTTCCCTTGCAGAAGAATTAACATGATTCATTTTATCTTGTAGCTTCCTATGTAAACCCACAGCAGGCTGTGTGTGTAAAGACACTTGTCAAGGCATCTGTACATTGCTCAGGCTCACTAAAGGTACAGACAGTCTGTGGCCTGAAGAGTTCAGCATGACACAGAGTCATAAAAAGCCAAGGTAAGGGCTTCTGTCAAGGTGGAGCCAAACTGTGGGAGGATGTGCTTCAGTCTGAACAGGGGATATGGGTAGGGATTGTGGGCATGTAGCAGATGTGCACCTAAGAGAGGGATGACTGTGTTGTACTAATATTAAATATTTGTTTGCACTGTGCTAGGACCAGAAAGCTGTATCTGGTTATCAGCCCCTGGTGCTGAGTTCTGTCTGAACACAAAGGTAGGCAGCCCCTGTCCCAAAGATTATGCTGTCTGATTATAGTCAATATTTCTGCTGTCCCTGAGGTTTCACGATTTCAGAGTTCAGGCTCCTAAAACCTTGAGATTGGCACAAAAATAATGAAATTGAAAAAAAATAATAATACTGCAACTGGGTTTATTTTTATTTGCCTTCCGGTATCTAAGTCTTTGCAATTCACTTGAGTCATGTTTTCTCCACAGCCCTAACGAATAAAAATGTAGGTCTTGCCTACATGGGATTATTTTTTTGTCATAATTTAACATGTAAATTTAAAAAGATATTGTTAGCTCGGTATAACTATTTCTTCCAGCTGGTCACTCACAGTGGGACCTAGATTATGTAGTTTAGGCAAAGTTATAATTTAGCTCATCTCCAAAAAGTAGCCCAAACACTACCTTGCAAGGCAGTCGCTGTCCCAGGATAGTTATACCTCTACAATTTTGTATATACTGGCATGAAATACTGCTGTGGGGATCTTTTGACAAAACATGGTGCTACTTAAACACCCCAAAAACCTTACACGTCATGGAAAACACATGCCTCTGAGAGCTGAATGCTAAATGTTGAAGCAAAAGGTTTGATGCAAGCCTCAGGAGGGAAAGAAATCTCAGATGTTGGCAGAGCCACTGCTGAAGGCAGAAAATGAGTAGGAAGGAGGACAACGTGAACTGCGATTAAATCCAGCTAGGACAGAAGCCAAACTGTTCTGGGTCACTCACACTTAGCCTATTTATAATTTTAGTACAATACAGATCATGAACAATATTAAAATAAATAACATGTGCCTTAATGACCTCCTCTTCTTGTCCCTGTCATGCAAAGAATTCTCTAATTCTCTGCCTACTGACAACCTTGTGTTTAATTGCTTTTACATCGTTCTATGCACCCTACCCTTACCTACAACTCTGTTGAACATAGTGGTATACAAATTTAAATTTTTAGTCTTTCTTCTCAACTCTGTATCAATACATTT